AGTGCAATGCATCACCTCCCACGAGGAGGCCAATACCCAGGCAGTCTCAGGCAAATGGCCACCTTGGAAGCTAAAATCTTCTCTTCTTCCTCTACTCCTGTTTTTACTGCTGAGTATGGCATTATATGGCGTGCAATATCCCTCCAGGCAACTTGGGTCAGTTGTCCTGGTTGTGTCCCCTCCGTATTTCTTGCTCATCTACAGCCTACCCATTGGGTGAAGGCAAAGTAGAAAAAGTAGAAGGCCTTGATAGTGCCCAGTACAAAAGATAAAGACTCAATAGTTCAGCGATATCCAAAACACAGTGCCTTACCAGCTGCTGTGAAAAACCATCCCAGTCAGACTGAGAACAAAGATCAATTTGAAAAATTATAAATTGCAGAAAGAATTTATGTCTCTGAATGAAGTTCAGCTATGGTAACTAAATAGCTGCTAAATAATGAGGTAACAGGTGCCCTAGAAATGGTAGATGCCCAACTAGCACTCTGATTAATCTGTCTATGTATGTTCCTGTGATGTGTACACTAAATATGGGGGGGGGGGGTTTCTCGTCCTATTTAGCATTATGCTCTTCTGGGATTTTCATTTAGTTTGACCTTTACCATCCAGTATTTGACAGTAGTAGCAAGGTGACTTTGCATATGTGTATATATATGTGTCCACATTAACAAGTCAGTGCGTGTACACTGATCTATTTATTCCCTGTTAAGGATCAATACATCACTCTATAGAGAGTTAAATTATTATGATTATAGTATATACATATATATCTGTGAAGCTTTTTATATATATATATATATATACATATATATATATAAAAATGTATGAATAACTTAGCTTGAAAGCTGCTATGCTACACAGCTTTGTTTCCCTGTGAAATATTATCCAATTATTCATGTACATACACAATTTTAAAATAAGTTCTTAATTGTTGCTGATGTGATTGCTTTTCAGATTCAAAAAATAGAGGGAGTCATATCCTACAGAGATCCTCATTTTTGGTGTCACTCTGCAAGTGTTGTGGCAGGCACAATACATGTCCAAGTGGTATCAGATGTAATGGAACAGAGAATTGTACAGCAGGTAAGGTGCAAGGTTTTTGGACTCTAATCTCCTAATTTCCTACTCGTTAGTCCTTTCTTCATCACAGACTGAAATTAAAGCTGCTGTGTGTGATTTTTTTTTGTAGCTATCCATTAATGTCTCAGAGTTAGTCTCCTACACTGTACTGCCCCCTTGCCTGCTAGCTTGGAATCAGCTGAATGAAGAGTTGTTTGCTAGAACATCTGCCTAAACACTCACTGTTGTGACATGACATCTGCTCTGAGAAAAGAAGGGGAGATGGAAAAATAAGCCTGCAAAAGAGGCAGTAAACAGTAAGGATATCCGGATGCTAATCATGGGTTTATAATTGGATTACCACAACCTATCTGCCTTAGGTTTTTCTCTTTCTTAAAAAGATACATATTTCCTTATGCAAGACACCCAAACATATTTCCTTATGCAAGAATTACCTGCTGTGCAGAAGTTGCAAAGCCATACCCTCTGAAGCTAGTCTTTGCTTTCCAGAAAATTGAATTCTTCATTGTCACACAAAATCACAGAATCATCTAGGCTGGAAAATACCTCTGAGATCATCGAGTCCAACTTTTGACCTAAAATCACCTTGTCTACTAGACCATGGCACTAAGTGCCACATCCAGTCTCTTCTTAAATATCTCCAGGGACAGAGAATCCACCACCTCCCTGGGCAGCCCACTTCAATGCCCAGTCTCTCTGTGTCATGGATTTACTCTGGACCAGTTTTCTCTCACCCCCCCCAACCAATTGCTATAAATTGAGAGAAGGTTTATGCAGACAAAAGAAATCTGATGTTGGGAGAATAGTATTAGGATTTATTACTATCAAGATAAAAACTAAAGAACTATATATACGACAATTCTAACTAGGCAAAAGTGCTATGTATTTACAGAAGTACCCCTCCCCCCTTGTATCAGTTTAGGAGGAGAAGCAGTCTCTTTTCCACTTCTAGAGCTACAGATCTTCTAAATAATTTTGCAGCAATTGAAAGTTCTTCTGCTGTTATCTCTAGGACAACACCTCCAATTCGTCGCAGCTGGAAATGTCTCTCTCTTTCTCTCTCTACTCTGTCGGCCTCAGGGCTGGGCCTACCCCCTTCTGGGCTAAGACCGGAGGCTGGGAGTTACCCAGGCCCTGTGGGGTCCTCCATGGACTGCAAGGGGACACTTGCCTTACCGTGGTCTTCACCACAGTTACAGGGGATAATGGCTTTGAGTCCTTCCCCTTTTTCATTTGGGGTCCCTCCTCCCGAGAGACAGTCCTTGATGGATCTGTCTAGCATGAGCCAACAGTTCTTCCATTCTCTGCTGTCCCTTAGGGCCACAAATTCAGCAGCACCAGCATGGATCCCTCAGTGGAATCACAAGTCCTATCCGGGACAGTTTTCTCCTCTATCTCCATCTTAGGCCTCCCACAGGGCCACAACCTTCTCATGTGCTGCCATGCATTTATCTGCTTCAGCACAGGCTCCTTCATGAGCTGCAAGGTGTCTCCTCATTCAGTAATCTTCCACAGATGGCAGGGGTTTTTAGTTTTCAGTCTTTTCCCTGCTGAAGGGAGAGAGAGGGGGGAGAGAAGGAGTCCCCTCCCTCCTCAGGCCTCTCTTCTCTCTCCTCCAGCTGCCAGCTTTGACCTTGGAGGCTGCACTCTCTGCCTGGAATTCCTTCTGCAGCATGTCTCATCCAGGCAGTCTTTCTTTAGAGTTTTTCCTCTACTCTGTTACATGTCTCGGCCAGGGGGACTTCAGTGCCACACCTGCCCTCAGCCCAGGGCCAGGTGGAGGAAGGAGGCCTAGCCCACATCTGGGGCCTGCCACCTCCCCCTCCATGGCTCCTAATTTCTTCTGCGCCACACAACTTCTCTTCCATTTTCTTAAATATGTAATTGGCAGAGGCATTACTAAAACTTTTGATTGGCTTTACTCTGGAAATCCACCTGGAAAAACTATTTTCTTCCCCAGGGAGCTGGTTGGCAAACTCACGACACTCCGTAAAAACTTCTTCCTAATGTCTAAACTGAATCTCCCCTGGCACAGCTTAAGACCCTCTTGTCCTACTGCTGGTTGCCTCAGAGAAGAGACTGATACCCACCTGGCTACAACCTCCTCTCAGGTAGTTGTAGAGAGTGATAAGTTTTCCCCTGAGCCTCCTCTTCTCCAGGCTAAACAACCCCAGCTCCCTCAACCTCTCCTCACAGGACTTGTGCTTGAGTCCCTACACCAGCCTCGTTGCCCTTCATTGGACCACAGTCCAGCACCTCAATGTCCTTCCTAAACTGAGGGGCCCAAAACTGAACAAAGGATTTGAGATGCAGCCTAACCAGTCCTGAGAACAGGGGAACAATCACTTCTCTGGTTCTGCTGGCCACAATAGTCCTGATAGAGGTCAGGATGCCATTGGCCTTCTTGGCCACCTGGGCACACTGCTGGCTCATGTTCAGCTCCCTGTCAATCAGAACCCGAAGGTCCCTTTCTGCCTGGCTGCTCTCCAGCCACTCTGTGCCCAGCCTGTAGCGCTGCAGGGGGTTGTTGTGGCCAAAGTGCAGGACCCGGCACTTGGCCTTGTTAAACATCATACCATGGGATTCAGCGCATTTATTTCAGCCCTGTCCAAGTCCCTCTGAAGAGCCCTCCTGCCTTCCAGAAGATCAGCACTCCCCCCCAACTTGGTGTCATCTGTAAGTTTGCTAATGATACAGTCAATCCCCTCGTCCAGTAAAGATACTAAACAGGACTGGGCCCAGCACTGATTCCTGGGGGACACCACTGTTGACCGGCCACCAACTGGATGCAGCCCTGTTCACCAGCACTCTCTGGGCTCAGCCATCCAGCCAGTTCCTAACCCAGTACAGAGTGCTCCATCCAAGCTGCGGGCTGCCTGCCAGCTTTTCCAGGAGTATGCTATGGCAGATGCTGTCAAAGGCTTTTCTGAAGTAATGATTATGATAGGGGTTTTTTTCCTGTACAGCATTTCAGAGCCAGAACACTGCAAGTTACTGTGAGATACATATGAAGTGTAATACTAATGTTAACATACTGTTCTATTCAGGTCACAGCAATTCTGAAAGATGCTGGCGTAAACAACTTAACTGTCCAAGTGGAGAAGGAGGCTTATTTTCAACACATGTCCGGACTCAGTACGGGATTTCAGGATGTTCTTGCAATGACTCAGCAACTAGAATCCATGAAATACTACAAAGATGGTACTTACATCATGTGATACAAAGTTGTGTTCACCGAAGGAGATGTAAATGGTGAAGCTGTTAGATTCTGTATTTGTATTTTTGCCAGATCTTATACATGTTCAGAAAGAAATGAACTATAAATTTTTTAAGCGTACTGTCTTTATTAATTGGATCAAAATGCTTTTATAAAGGAAATAAGGACTTGAATATTTGCTGTATGTGTGAAAATAATTGAAATCTTAAATACTAGGTGTTTATTAAACAGAAGTCTTGCAACTTGTAGATGAGCACAGATATATTCCATACTTTCTCCTAAATGTGGAATATTGGTATTGTATTTTGTTAGCAGTGGGATATGGAAATAGTTGATATCAGAATGCAAACATAATCAACTGAAGAATATTTTTCTTTCTTTCAAAGATATCTTGAAGACTTTGAGTGAAAAAGATACTTGTTTATTATGGGGAGCAAAAATCAGGAAGCCATTTGTTTTACATACTGTGTTAGATAATAGAAGACTGCAGTTTTTTTATTTTGTCTCAGCATACAAATCTGATTTCTAAACTTAGTGCACCAGAGCAAATACATGTTACCATGTTATATTTGTATCAGATTATGTTTTAAGAAGAGAAGTCCACAGGTTAACAGTGGGAAATTGGGAGGGGGAAAAAATGAAGACACTTTCTCTTTCCTAGGAAGACTCAGAGTCATAACTCAAACCACTCTGTAAAATAAATCTTTTGTACTTTTTTGTATGAAAAACTGGAAATGCAACAGTTTGAAGTCTGAAAGCATCCTAGCATTCAGCTAAACTTTGCCTCTTCAAGATACATTGTTTTTACTTATTTTTTTACCTAATTTTTTTAGTAATACCACAGCACAGCTGAAGGGGTACTGTAGCAAGCTATACTTTTGTGTATTACCCAAGGATGCAGTCCAGGTTTAGAATTCCGAACTGTGACAGTAGTCTGGGACCTGGCAAGCTGCTGAAATGAACAGTAAATTGAGACTTCTTAACTGGAAGGTGAAAGAGTGTGTTTCGGAAGGTTTTGTGCACGCTGTTGTCTTAATACTGCGAAGAAAACAAATCTGTGTCTTTAGTGAATGCCTGCCACCAGGTTAATAACATACATCTTCAGAGATAGTTATCCTTACATGTATTCACAGGCTTCCTGTGCCCCCTTTTCTGCTTGTCTGCAGCCTTCAAGTATTTTCCTTGGAATTCACCAAATCAAAAATGAGTACGTCTTTCATCATCCCATGTATCACGGCACTATTATTTTGTCATATTGTTTTCTTATATCTGGTATTCAGTGATTTCTAAGTACTGTTATAGTAAGAACAGACTGGACGTTAGTGGGAGAATAGAGTGTTTTAGGAACTATATAGTCAGATCAGATTTACCAGGAATGCAGTTTGAAATGTCCTTCAGCCTTTCTGCTTTTCTTGTGACTGGACTGTTTAATTTGTCCTTGAGCAATTCTGCTTGTCTTGTTTTGGAACTGTTTGGAACTGTTTATATGAGCTGAGTGATTTGCTTTGTTGCTCTTAGATGAGTTTGTTTCTCCTGTGATGTGTTACAATGCCATCTGCATTGACTGACTTGAAAAATTGCAGTCAGAAAGTTTCTAGAAGTTGCAATTGCATTTGTGTTGAATAATGAAGAATGAGTGCACAAATCACAATTTCTCGTGTCTCAGGACAGTGCTGCAGAGCCAGCAGCCTTCTCAAAGCTGTATCCTGGTTTTTGTCTGTATGCACATTTGGCAGCAGTTTTTTCACATTGTCTCCTCCAGAAGGCTTGTCACTTGAATAGCAGTGCTACAATTATGCTCAACCTATAAGTAGAGTGGATCTTTTGAAAACTATTCTCAAACAAAAAGCTTCAGTTAATGTTTACATATGCCACTCCTGTTTTGAGGGATTGTACTAGACTTTACAGTATTTCACCAAACCTCATTGTGACATGTAGGTGAAAAGTGGAAAGGGGGGTGTGATTCTGTCCTTTCAAATCATTAGGCTGACATAACTGAAAAGCTGCTTGCACAGCTTCCTTTTAACAAATGCCAATTTCCTACTTCAGCTGCTAGCGGCAGAACCCAAAACAAATCAGATGTCTGGGACCATGATCCTGGCAGTGAAGATGAGCTCATACCTGGATAGTTCACAGGCAAGTCGCTTGCACACATAGTTGCAACAAAACGCTTTGAACGATGAAGTTCAAAACAAACTCCGACAGCATGCAGTATGTGTGTACATAATGGGGAAGCAGATGATGTTTTTCAGTAATATTTTATTTACTGCATCTTTGACTTTCCTGTTTGCAAAACCACTCGAGACGGAAGGACGGCAGCGAGGGAAGTGGGGGCGGCGCCCGCACAAGCGGCACGACTCGCCAGCCTTCAGGGTAGCTCTGTGGGCGGGGCCGCGGCGGCCAATGAACTGCGGCCGCGGGAGTTGTAATTACGGGACGGTGCACCGGCCTTCATCTTTCGGATGCTAGCGGAGCTCCGTCTCTTCTCCTGCGGTCCGTCTGCCCGATCCTGCTGGGGCTCTGCATCTCTCTCTGGTCACTCGGAGCCCCGTCTGTCCGGTCCCTCCGCTCCGCCATGGCCTCGAGGGCCACCCGGGTAGGTGCGCGAAGGGCCTGGCACAGAATGGGGCGGGCGGGGGTGCGGAGCGGGGTGTCGTCCTGGCCCGGGGGGAGGCAGCCGCGCTGCCCCTTCCATGTCCTGCTCCCTCCTTCCCTTTCCCTCTGTTCAGCTCGGCGGGCAGAGAGGGTGCGGCAGGGCAGCGCTTTGGGTTCCTCCGCTCACTCCGGTCTCTGCTTGGTGGGGAGGGCTGCCAGTGTGCTCGGCTCCCCTTCAGCCCTCAGGTGTGGAGGGGAGCAGCCGTGCAGCCCCTTATCTCCGCATCTACGGCTCCGGAGCCCTGCGGTCCTCCCCCTGCTTAGCTCCTCCAGCCCGCCGGGGCCGCCTGCAGCGCTCTCCGATCGCCCCGTTGTCCGGGGTGCGGCGGTGCAGCCCTCTCGCACACACACTCCCGATGCCGGTGTCCCGCTGACGGCCCTTCGCTCTCCCTGCTAGAGCAGTTCCGCTCTGCAGCCCCCTGTCCAAGAGGAGCGCGCCGCCGACAGCCAAACGCGGGGCTATCGCGGGAGCCAAGATGGAGCTGCGTCCTCACACCGCCCTTGGGGACATCAGCAACCGTGCAGCTGACCTAAGGTGCGGGCAGCCTGCAAGAGGTCGGCGGTGCAAGTGTGATAAGTAAAGGCACCGGTTTTTTATTCCAAGCAAATTAAAATAAAAGGGGGATACTAACAAAAAACTATTTCTGTATATTTACTAACTTCTAGGCGTACCGTGGAGTCTGTAAGGTGAAGGGTCCTGTTTGGACCTAACACCAGGGAATCTTTTGCGGCCGGGAACAGGGAACAAATTATAAATGAAAATATATTTCTCTGTGCCATGTGGATACAGAGAGGCCCTCCAGGACTTGCAGCTGAGGATGATGCAAGACCCCCCCTGTACAAGCCCAGGGGAGATAACATCCACCCAACCAGGGGGTAACATCCACCTCC